TACTTTGGCCTTGAGGATTCCATGTGAGGGCTCGTCTTGTGACGCAGTTGGGTGCTTTCCTCAATGTGTGTCCTATCCACTTCTAGCGCTTCTTCCTAATTTCTTCCTCTCTGGGATCTGGTTTGTTCTCTCCCACAGTAGGTTGTTGCTAATAGTGTCCGGCCAACGGATCCGAAGTATTTTGCGTAGACAATTGTTAATAAACACCTGTATTTTCTGGATGATGGCTTTCGTAGTTCTCCAGGTTTCTGCCCCATACAGTAGAACTGTCTTGACATTCGTATTGAAAATCCTACCTTGGTGTTGGTTGACAGTTGCTTTGAGTTCCAGACGTTGTTCAGTTGTAAATATGCTGCTCTTGCTTTGCCGATCCGCGCCTTCACATCTGCATCAGATCCACCCTGTTCATCAATGATGCTGCCCAAATACGTAGAGGTTTTTACATCTTCCAAATCTTCTCCGTCAATTGTGACTGGATTGGTGCATGCTGTGTTGTATCAGAGAATCTTGCTTTTCCATTTGTGTATATTGAGACCTACTGCTGCTGAGGCTGCTGCTACACTGGTCGTTTTCTCCTGCATTTGTTGTTGCGATTGCGATAGGAGGGCCAGATCATCTGCGACGTCTAGATCGTCCAGCTTTATCCTGGATGTCCACTGTATCCCATGCTTTCCTCAGATGTTGACGTCTTCATGATCCAGTCGATCACCAGGAGAAAGAGAAAGAGTGAGAGTAAGCAACCTTGCCTGACACCGATCTTTACCTCGAACGAGTCTGTCAATTGTCCTCCATGTACAATTTTGCGGTTTAATCCATCATAGGAATTCCGTATGATATTGACTATCTTCTGAGGCACGCCGTAGTATCGAAGAAGCTTCCATAGTGTTGTTCTGTTCATGCTATCAAATGCTTTTTCGTAGTCAATGAAGTTTATGTAGAGTGATGAATTCATAAATGATAACTAGTATTAATTGTTAAACAGCTGAATCCCATCAATTACAAATTAAACTAATCCGTACAAAACTTTTTAAAAAAACTATTCTTAAATGTTTGAGTGGTAACTACAGTAAAATAGATTAAGTTTGTTTGTATTTGTCATATGACTTGAAAATATCTAAGTTATTTTTTTATTATTATGAATAAACCGTTGTGTGTATGCCAACATATATATACTCATATGTGGTTTAATCGCTGAGTGACAGTAGAAGTACTCATTAGGAAAAATGTATACACATCAGTAACATATATGTATAATCCAGACAGCTCTATATTCCTTATCGTTAATATATATATATATATATATATATATATATATATATATATATATATTCAATGAATGTGTAACTGTTGGACGATAGAATCAATATTGAATCAGTAGTCTATGAAGTTGATATGGGTTTTAAAAGTTTTTATAGTAAAATACAAGCTTTAAAATACCCATATATATGTTACATAATGGATCTAAGTATAGAATATAGGGATCATGAGTATAATACACAGAAAATATCCTCCAAAATAGAACGGATTCATTCAATAATTAATGAATTCATAAACTGATGGAATGTTTTGATCTAGATTCACTTAGGCTACAAACTGCGTTTATTCAGGTGTTCAGATTACATAACAAATATTTCAATCATATCAGTAACCAAGCTTTCTGGAGTTATTTTCACATAGCTCAGAAGAGTGGAAAGGAAACAGGCCTTGGACATCTAACTTTCATTCACCTAGTTTTACTTATTCTCTTAAAGAGAGTAAAAACAAAACATTGGGAATAATAATATGAATTCATTTTACTTAGTTAGATTCTCATTAGGTGCTTACAACTTATAATACTTTCAAATCAAGATTATCATAAATTTCACAAACTTATAACAGTAAAGTTATATATGTAGCGTCATGGTAAAGTAGTGATTCGAATGTGATGAAACAAAAAACATGTAAAGAGAGCTGTAAACAAAGATGACGAGTAAGAGAACATTCTAGGTCACCAGAACTAATAACAAGAGACCATAAAGCTAAAAAATAACGTTGTTGTGTAATGAAGTAGATGGACACAAATTAATAGCAATTAAGAACAACAAGAATTAACATCAGTCAGTTAAAAACAAATTATGGATTTGAGAAAAATGATGTGATCAAAATAAAAGTGAAAAATTGCATGATTGATGTAACTTGGTAGCCTGCTTGAACATGTGAACTACTTGATCCTATCATCTTGATATTTCAACAAGTTATCTAATGTTGTTCGTTTTAATACATCATGATGACTATTAATCACATAACCTATTTAGGTGAGTTTGTGAAAAGTATACAACCTTTCGTTGTACAAATTACAACAGGACCCAATCACAGTTATCATGGTTGTTGGCAATGTGCATTGAAAAGAATGTACATTATTTGAGATGTCAATTGACTGGTCTGCTAACTCTTAATTGACGATCACTCAATATTTATCGTCAGGATCGATGAACAATTAAGAAACAGAAACTTGTTGAAATACATTGTGTTGGGAATTCTATATTGTACCAAAAATCTAATATTGAATAAAGCTAATAGTAATAATGATCAGTAATTAATTAATTAACAATAACTAATAAATAATTAACTCAAACTGTTTTGGTTTGTTTAATATTTCTGATACATTCATACAAACAATGCTGTACATTGGAATAAGGCCTGGTGAAGATCCAAATACAAAAACTACTGTTCGATAGTATGTATTGTTCTGATTTATGCAGTAGGTATTTTCAATATGTTGAGATCACATGAAGATGCCAATAGCTGTCAAGTTATTTAAATAATACGACAAAAAAACATAAAACGTCTTCAAAGCTTCAACCTTCTGAGTCTAGAGCTTTTATTATTCCGTACTTTTAACTCAGCCAATATAACTAACATAAATTTCGTACAAACCGAAAAAAATAAACCTGTTATCACTTCATGATATCATATGTTCAACATAGTCTCTTTTTTCTAACTAACTTCCAAGAAAGACATATTGTTAGAACTATTTCGCATTCAGATCTACCTGATTGTGGACATATCAATAAAATACTTGATTACTTATTTGTCAGCTATTGGAACATAAGCATACATACTGATGATCAAACGAAATCGTGATTTCTACCAGAACGTAACGTTGAATCACCTGTTTTATAAGTCTCCTGTCATTATCTCATATTTATGCACGAAGCTATCGATCATAACGTACAAGAATACTAATGTTATTTGAAGAGGATACATCAGGTTGTTATGTCAATTATAATAAATAAAAACATATCATTGTTATGGTACAAAACATTATGACTATAGGGTATCAAATAGCTCGGAAGACTCAATATCACTGACGAATCCTCCTTGCTTTATACACAGCTATAAGATAAAAATACAGGGATGTTTTCTTCTCTTTACTGTCTAAAAAGTCCTGATCGAACTGAATGAGGGCATATTATTTGTAGTGAATCTTTTCGCTTCATCATTTAATACTATCATATGGAGTAGTAGTTAGTATATATCACCAACAATGACACTGCAACCTTTGATATAGCTGTTACAGTAATCCTGAAGATAAAACAACAATACGTTGTCTTAAAGACTTCCGATACGTCTGATAAGTCACTCCTGTAGGACATCACTGTAGCTTGGAAATACATTTTTGAAGACTCTGTTTAGGAGGACCGTGGTCGCTGTTGAGACATTCGATTTTAATCGAACTTACAAACCCAGCAGTTTTATTCCAAGTGTTCGAAATGAAAGCAAACGTGATTAACTTTTACTCATTAAATGTCAATATGTGTATATATTATATTAAAGCTGTACAACTATTCACTTATATAGTTAGAAGTAATTTCAATAAATATATTTTTACTTTGACAGAAAACTTAGACCTTGAACCTACTTGTGGCCCTGCTGAATAGTCGAAGCAACCTTGACAACTAACTGAGGCGGTCAACGGAGATCGGACTAGTCACACACTACGTTGTATCTTCGATTATCCTGAGTTCCGAATCCTAGGTTCACTTAACCGTACCGGGATACTCGATGTGCATGCTTATATGCAAGAACTCCAGAAGTCCTCTGACCTATGCAGTTTAAGTACGTAGGTGTAAGCAAAGGGTATGAGTACGACATCTTACAAAGGATATGTTTAGCTGAAAAACTGTCTGCACTGTGTATAATACAGTCGGCGGCCTATCTATTAGGTCAAAGACAAATGATTCAGCAGCAAATACTTGGGAGAGGCAATCAACCTCGCTTGAAATAATGCCTATGCTTACGTATGTTTTAGTTGAACTACTGCCAAGATAAGTTATATAGTAAGTAAAAGAGCAGTGATGGTAAGTATTCTCTTTGAATAAGACAGTCATTTTGCTTTTTCATATAGCTGGCCTGAAAGTTTACGTAAAATTCTTTTCATTAGAGCTCAAGGATTGTGGACTTATTGCATTTCAAGGGTTTGTGACAGTTCAATAAAGTGGTTCGGTGAGTATATAAATAAATCCGTAAACTTGTCGCGTAGGTAAAGATAATCATAAAAATCAGTTTCTTATTAGTTTTTTCCCACAATGAAGGATGAGAAAATGCTCCACGAGCAGCCTTAAAAAAATCGGCAAAATAACATCCCGAAACAAAAATTATATATCACATAATATTAAAAACTAACGAACAAAACGTCATTTGACGCTATATATATAAACGTATGACATAAACTTGTTAATTTGAGATGCTAGAATAAAACCTGCTGTACGCGTAATCCTACATGTTTGAACCAATAAGCAGGTAAATGTAAAACTGCAGCAGAGTACTAAATAAAAGACTTACATATTGGTTTAAAACAGAAAACTTTTTACAGAACGAATATGGGACGTCCATAAAAATTTTTTGCTAATTTAGTGAAAATATTACGTCAAAGCAATGAACCGCTAATACGCCTATAGATAGACCATACAAAAGCTCATTCGAATAAAGAAACATGTACTTATTATTTTTTAACATACCAGTTTCCGGATCAACGAACTTTGAAGTGTAGCATAATAGAGGACGCCCAAAATGGCACACTAAAACAAACACATGCTAACGTAACATTATTTATACTTTTCAAATAGGTAAAATAGAAACATTGATAAACGTTGTCTAGCATCGTGCCTTTTTATTCAAATCGTGACTAAATGAAACGTTTACTGAATGAAATTCTGTTTATTACTTAGTTTGAACAAGGAAACGGCATTACCTGGCAACTATGATGAGTAAATCCAGGCCCTGTAATCATTGTGTTGTGCGGTTTAGTGTCAGCGAATCCTTATTTAGTTGTGATGCACTCATCAATCAATAAGTTGCATAATAGAACGATTATTTCAGGTCAATTTATCGGTGTTATGAAGCAGTTAGAAAAAACTTATAATATGCAGCGAAAAAAACGGGGTCAGGGTGAAAAGTAATATTCGAGATTTCAGTACATTGAACCATTTCACAGGCATTATCGTAATTTCATATAGGATATTCATATTATTGACAAATTTATTTTAAACCCAATGGAGCAGCTGTGCAAGAACGAGTTGGAAAGTTTCTGCTCAACGTGCACGAAGGGTTGAAGCGAACAATATTTATGAATAGTAGAATGAATGTAAATAGGCTCTCGATGTTCGTGAATATAAGTTTCTCATTTGCAAAGTCAGCTTGTGTCAGAGATAACAGAACAGAACGTTAGCTGATACAGTAATTGTGGGAAGGGCTGAGCGTTCAGAAGGTCGATCCAGAAAATCATGGCGTTTTTCACTTGGTAATTATGATATCTTGAAACGGACAGAGCTTCTTCTGAAAACGGTCAAAATAATTACACCACCGGGCTTTGATAAACTGCCTGCAACCCTCTAAAATTACTGGAGTTCCCACGCAAGGATTAAAAAGTAGGTTTTGTTCTATTGTCGGTAATCCCATGTTTTTAAAAGAAGCAATGCTACACAAACCAAGCCCTTACTTAGAATTCGGAAAGTTAAAAAGGAAACGGACACACCAAAAAGCACTTGGTGTGGCGATTGGAGGCAAACATTAACACTCCGAAAAACAACTGCCAACAACTGGAAGGGTTAGTGAGAACCATCAAGCTTACGCTAACATGTAAGAGTCGTAGATTGTAGGAATGCCAACTCTGGACAACGGAGATGTCTAACGGGGAGGGTTAATCGAACGTAAGTTGCGAAGAAATACCTCATTACGACAGGCAGTGCGACATCATATTTTGATCAGACAAATTATCTTTCAACACAAAGTATTCAAATTGAGTGCTGTTAGATAATTTACACTTGTTATTGCCATGCCTTTTCAGGAAGGATGATGAGATTTTGAGACTTACATTTGTCTATACCAGATCACGTTCCCCTGCTTAGCGTACAACGCGTTTTTGAGATAATCGCATTGTATTATATCAAAACACAAACTCTGTGCTCAATATAAACGGTTCTAATTTAGAAAACAGAACAAATTATATCAAAAGTACAAAATATCTCAAACGGTTCAGCCTGTGCTATACAGTCAGAAGTTTCTCTAACGCAAAGTAGCGCACTAAACAATGAAGAAAACAGTTAATACTAAAGGGTTTGCTACCAGGGAATCAATAAAAATATTCTCAACAAGATGTGATCAAATATCTATCCGCAGGGATTCCAGCATTCCTCCTAAGCAGACAGTCAAAAGCTTCACAGTCACACACTGAACCACGCCGTGACCTTAAGCCTAGTCAAATACAACCTTACTGTCAATAGTCCGGCAACATGCAATGGAAACTTAGGTAACAAAATATCGGTCTTTAATCAAAATCACATAATAAAGGCTGAGACGAGGAAGACTGAAGAACAAAAGATGTGTTTAAACGAAATCTGAACAAAGGTTAAAATACGCGACAGGGAGAAGGAACAAATAAGTGACAGTACTGTTCGACAATTAGCTGCGGAGGGATTTTTATCGTTGTCTTTCCGTTATAGTGCTCGTTTACTCGGTGATCATTTAGTTTTTAATATTTTCTGAACCAGTTGTATGGTCGCATATGAGTCACATTAAAGTCCCATTCATTAAAAAGGCCAAATGTCTGAACAACGTTTCATGAATTCTGAATCAGAAATAGCGGATGGATAACGTTGCTTATAAACGTCAAGTGTTATTGGTCCGATTATTAAGATTGTATGTATTTAGAAGCCTTTTCGGACAAAATATATCAATTTCGGAATAGTAAAGATCAGTTTGTTAATATACTGGAATAGGATTTATACGGGAGGTTAGTTAATCTGTCAGAAAGATGAGTGTTCGAATTTTTTTGTCTCGTAATCCACAATTATTAGTATCCTGCAATTCGAAATATGATTCGTACAATCCAAGATGTTCATCCAATGAGGATATCAATGTAATCTTTAAATGAAGACAGCAAAATATTTCTAGTAATTTGCTTAGTCGTGGTAATAAACTTATCACTCAGGGTCAGTCAAGCTTGCGTTAATTTAATAATGGTTTTTATTAGCGTGGAAATATGAAAAAGAAATTTACCAATAAATTGCAATACATGTCGCAAAATCGAACACAATTGTTACAAATGTTGGTTATGTAGCGAATTTCGCTTACGTAATTCATGTGTATTTCGCAATGCTAAATGCTTCAAATGTGGAGAAATTGCCGGGGAAACTATATTTTGTGGACCTTTGAACGAATTTAAAGAGACCTTGAGAAAAATTAACCAATCAGAAGAGAGCTAGTATAAAGTAAAAATATATCATAAAAAACCCATAAATAACTGTGGATATTCTCTTTTATATGATTTAAAAACTTGTTAAGGTTAGATAAAGGTTCAGATGTCCTGAAATCATAGTGCACAGGGTTAGGGTGCACAAACCAAAGTCTATGAAGGCATCTATACGCTTTCCAATCATCGGTATAGATCGTGGTGCCAGGCTGGACGTACTCTTTTATGATTGGTATTATTGTCGTTGCCTGACGGTTTTGTAGTGTCAGTCATCATTTTAAGCCCATGTATCTTATATTCTAGTTTTCGGACATTCCATTTTATTCATTCCACTTGAGTGATATTTTGACCTTGTCAATTATTCGCTTATTAGTCTTGACTGTTTTTATATATGAGCGTATATGTGTGTACACTTCATATCCCATGACTCATCACATGTTTGTAGTTTATTTTGTCTGACTATAAATATTGAGTAACGCTTAATTAAAATGGAGTTGGCTTCCCAGCCATCTTCCCTGCGTGTCATTTTGCTTGGCTCTGTTTCATTCGCTTCATGTACAAAATATATGTATTCACAAATCTGTGGTGGACCAGACAAATATGAACGCAAAAAGTATAAATAAAGTTACTAAAGATAAATAGTAATATTAATATATACAGTTAATTGTTACAAATACAATAAAAATTGGGGACGTTACTTAAATTGCCCAAACGTTGCGTGTTCTGATCAGGTCCAGTAATGTAAATCCACAATTATAAATGTTTGATGACTCTGAGCAGGTTGGTGAACTCTCTAGCGATATAGTCCAACGTTGGATGTGATATATTCCGATTATAGTCTATAAATGTAGATAGTATTTGATTTAGACTTCCATTAACTCAATCACAAATGAAGATAGAACGAGGAATGCGTGAGTAGTAATGTATTTTGCTAACCAGCACTAATATGTCACGCTATGTAGTAGCTCAACGGAAAGTGTGTTCAAGGTCATTTACTAAAACAACATGTACAGTCATTTAATGATAAATGTACATACGGTGAAAAATTGACAAACAAATACAAATAATATTAAAAACTATTTACAAAATAAGCTTGTCAGTCATATCTCCACATAGCTCCCCCCAGAGTGTCCGGAGGTAACACTGGTTGTAATAATAATAAGAAAAATTTTATACAAAAAAAAATAATATTTACATTAATAACCAATTAACAATGTGGAGATGCGTATGACATGTACGTTAATAATATACAGTGTGTTATTGCGTGAAAATAGCGGTGATGTGGCATAGCATGACAAACAAAAGTAATGAGAATACCGTCTTTCAAAATTTTGGTTTGCTAACAATGATAATAATGTACAGAACTGTTACTGAACCCAAAAAAAAATGAACTGCTTTTTTTTGTGTGTGTGTACAACAAATGAATAATTAAATAGAGTTTACTCGTTTATTATTGTAACAAATTTTTTTTATAAAAAAAATGTGACAAAACGAATAATTGTGGGGAAAAAATATGGTTAATTATGTACACTAAAAAAAAGGAAAAAAAATTTGTTTTTTTTTTAATCGACGAAATGGACATAACGCTTGGGTTTGTTTATAGGTCTGCCGGAGCGTGTTAAACAAGAAGGCTTAGTATTAAGTTTTTTGTCCTCCACTGGTTTTTCAGTCACTGGTGAAAGGGGTTGATTGTCAACAGCGTTGTCTTTTCTTACTTGAGTAGATTCATAGAAAGCAGGTTTGATTCTGTCTATAGAAATAGTCTGCTTTTTGCCATCTATGCTGATGATGAAGTATTTTTGTGTGCGTTTAATTACTTTATATGGACCTTCGTATGGTTGTTTCAATGGTTTTTTAACCGCATCTACTCGGACGAAGACAAATTTACACGTTTCAAGGTTTTTATCAAGTTGGACTCGATTGTTGTGTTCTCTAGGTGGTATTGCTTTGATGTTCTGCATCATTTGTAGTAATCTGCTTACAAAGCGAGAAGGGTCTCCTGGCGTTGTGGGTTCATTCTTGACCAGTTGTCCTGGTAACGTTAATGTCGTGCCATAGACTAGTTCAGCGGCCGTGCATCCGATGTCTTCCTTCACTGACGAGCGAATCCCAAGGAGAACGAGCGGTAAAGCATCGCTCCATTTTGAAGGGTCCGGTTGTGCCATCAGAGAGCTTTTTAGTTGGCGATGGAATCTTTCAACCATGCCATTAGCTGCCGGATGATAAGCTGTCGTTTTAATATGATTTACTCCAAGAAGTTTAGTGAACTCGTTAAATAGAACGGATTGGAATTGGGGACCGCGATCTGTTGTGATT